CGTGCCGTGCCGTGCCGTGCCGTGCCGTGCCCAGCCGTGCCGTGCCGTGCCGAGCCGAGCCGAGCCGAGCCGAGCCGAGCCGTGCCGTGCCGTGCCGTGCCGTGCCGTGCAGTGCCCAGCCGAGCCAAAAGCTGCCGTAGGCCGCTCTCCCGCCGCTCTCCGGCCCCGCAGCTCCGCCCGCCCTCGGTCCCGGAGCTCTGCGGTGCCGGGCGGTTCTGCCCCCGCACGGGACTCGCTCCCGGGAGCGGAGCAGGACCTCGGGCCGGCTCTGGGGGCGAGGTGGCGGGGACAGCGAGTGCCGGTGCTTGCGGCTGCCGCAGCTGGAGGCGCTGGCAGAGCTGCCGGGCGGGCAGAGGCGCTGGGCTGGCCGTGCACCCGTGTGTGCGCACGGATCCGCACGAGTGTGTGTGTGTGTGTGTGTGCGTGTGTGTGAGTGGTTTTCCACCCAAGGACTGAGGGATGATTAGCCAGAGGGGAGCAGGATGAGGCTTTGGTGCTGTTGGTGTTCCTGTCCTCAGCTCTGTGGCCAGACACACGTGGGAGGGGTAGATGAGTAATGCGATGGGTAACTCTCGCAATTAAAAGGCAAATATTATGTATATGTTAAGAGAAGTTTTACAGTCATGTTTTACACAGACCCTGCATTGTTATCAGGGGGTGACATGGGTAGTCGGGACATTTGGGAGGGTCGGCTCGTTACTATGGCAACAGCTGACCTCCAGTCAGGATTTAAGGAAGTGACCTCCACCGCTGGACAGAAGGACTTGATGGACAGAACTTTGGGAGGGGCTAAAGGGTTAAAAGGAGAAACCTCCATTGTGTGGGTCAGCGCATGGTGGGAAAAATCCTTTGCTCCCGGCGCTGTAATATTTTCTCTATTCAGTCTTCTGTTGTGTTTTTGATAAGGTTTATTAAAACATTTTAAATTTTTTTGGAAGTGAGTATAATTTCTCACATGGGTACGTCCGTGTGTCTGTACATGCACACGTGTGTGTATAGTCGTGTGTGACCACTGGTGTCACCAGTGAATGGTTTGGGCACTCAAAGCTACTGGCAAAAAGCAGATTTTAATGCAAATTTGTGAAAATGCAACTTAAGGGAGTTGAATTATGATGTCCACCCTGTTGCTGGCTACATGGCTGAAGTATGTGTAGGAAAAACAGATTGGAATGCATTTAGGATGATTTACATGGAGGGGATTTTACATTTACTGAGGATGCAAAAGGGTGAGGATACAAAAAAGAATGGTGAAAAAGGGTGTAGCAGCACTCAATCATGGACTGATTTAACAATCAAACATTCAATAGCATTTGCTACATTTTAACAGTGACTTAGTAACAGACTCATGATAAAAGCATTCACAGCATAATCAATTCACACATTCAGAGATGCCCACATCTGTACTGATCTGTGCAGAGGAACCTGCCAAAAATTTCCCTTAGGTTCAGTGAAATATGTCACATTCCTTAGTGATTCTCAAAGGTGGGGATTGCACCTTGAGGGGTGTCAGGGGTGGGGGATTGATAAGGGAACCAAAGAATGAGGATCAAATTAGCATTGAAGGCAAAGGGATCAACAACCAACAGGAGATCAAATACTAAGAATTATGTCATGTAAGACCAATGAACGAGGATCTCTTTGGGGCTTTGTATGTAGAAATATGTGAAAAGTCTGCTAAAGGGGCATGTGTGACAGAATGAATTTCACTGCACAACCCGGGCACATGTGGATGAAATAACTTCTGTCGCACATCCTGGTCAGGATAAAGTAATGCCTAAATTCTCTTTCCTATCAATTCCAAGTTTCCATCCTGGCCATAACCCAGGTTGGGAACAATGGTACCATTCTCCTCAAGTTAGAACTCAGGTAAATCATTTACCAAGGCTAACAGGGATAACGGTTATCCTTTGTTATCCACCTTGGTTGGTCACTGAAGATTCCTGTTGCTGGAACCCAGGATGCTGAGAATTTCAGACTGTCTGTGCTGACAGGCACTGACCCCCAGGAGAACATTGCACTGACCTGAGGCCGTGGAGAAGGCTTCCAAAATGGAATGATAGAACTGGGATTGTGGGTGTGGAGTTTGAATAGAGATGTGTAATATCACAGGGTGGAAAACTTAGAGTTTAAGGTTTTAGAATGTAGTAATATAGATAAAGCAAGATGGAGGTTTTAGGGCAGAGGCTGCTCCTTCTTCACGTTCTTCTCCATGGGTTTGGTTGGTTTTGTGTAATTAGATAAAAAAGCCTGCGTTGCGGACACAGTTGGTTATTGGGTTAAAAATAAAAAAAATTTAGGTGTTATTTTTTTAATTGGACAGTTTATCCTTAAAAGGCCTTGGAGAGAGAAAGACAGGGCTCCATTTTTAGTTTGTTAGAGTGAAGAGCTGTAGAACTCAGGGTTTGTGAGAGTGTGACAGAGATAAGAACCAATAAACATCTGAGTCTCAACAAGAAATATCATCTCACACATTTAATCCTGACCTTGGCAAAAAAGAAGCAAAGAATGAATCAGCATCCTGTTACAGTCAGAATTATTCCCACCTTTACCATGCTGCGGTACAGTCAGGGACACTTTATCACCCAACTGGTGCAGTCCAGGGGATGCTTTATGAACCCATAAATGAAAAAACACACACTTTTGAAATAATATTAGTAGAGGAGGTAGTAGAAAAGCTGATCTTTATTGGAGGCCTTCAGAGTCAGTTATGGAAAAATGGCCAAAAAACCCAGAGGAACGGTAGAAAACAGCAGGGCTGGGCGGTGGCAGACAGGCTTCGCAAGCAGCTGCCACATGGAGCCAGGAGCTGCTCACTCTGGGAAGGGAGATGGGGTTGGGGTCCCGTTCCCAGTGAGCCTGGGTGTTCTGAAGTCCGTTCTTGCAAGCAAAATCTCACCCATGCTAAGGAGAAGCAGTGCAGGACAAAAACACAGTGGCAGCAAATCCTCTGGGCAGCCACAGTCCAGCACCAGAACCCCACCTGTCTCCACTCTGATACCAAGAGAGAGCACAAGAGAGCTGAGCTTCAGCCCCGATCCCCCAGGCAATATCTTGCAGCATCTCTGTCCTTCCCAAGAGAAACCCCCCAGCCAAGAGACTGCAAACTGCACCCCTTCCCTGGCGACTTTGTCCACATCTTTCATGTCTCTTGAATATCTGTGTCTCAGTTTGAGAAGTTACCCCAGACAATCTGTGCTTCCATCTCTTAGGCAAGAAATGGGAGAAAAATTCCATGAGAGAAAGAAAATAAAAAGGAAAAATCCTAAACTCCAGCACTTGGGAAAAGCGGAAGAGGGACTTCAGGCATGGCTTACTTTGAGCTTTTTTTTTGTTTTGTTAAGATGCAGCCCTCTAAACAAACATACCTTTAATGGTTGATTTATACATTCACACAAGACATGAGTTTAAGCATCCCTTTATTGCATAAGCACCAAAGAAGTCATTGCTCCCCTAGCAGCAGCAGAAAGCACATGAAGCAGTAAACATGTTTTTTCAGTGTTAGCACCTTTCATTCATGCACTGTTTTGAAATCCAGCTTTCATTTGGAAAAAGGACTTGTAAACTAAACAGCAAGACATTTCCCTTCCCTAACAGCCTTTCCAACCCATCGTTTCCTCACAGAGATGGTGCCTGCACTCTAGGCTGTTTGATTGACTTCCCCAAAGAATGATAAGAAATGCTGTATTCCCTCAGGCCAGATGCCCATATGTTTCAGTGCCCTATCCCTCATACCAGCCAGGGGCAGATGCTCAGATAAATTTAAGGAGCAATGTCATGTTTCAGCATAGTTTTCTCTCTCTGTCAGTGGTCTGTCTTAATCAGTGACTGTCTTAGTCATAAGGCAACATAATTCTGCATGTCTTACACAATGTTCATTACATTTTTGTATTTCCTCACTACAGACACTCCAATAAGAATGGGCAAAAAAATAAAGGGGAAGAAGGAGGAAGGGAGGGGTGAAGGAGAACAGAGAAAGAAACAAAAGAAGAGAGAAATCCTAAATGTTGCTAAGCCCTGTTAGGGCAACAAAATCTTGAGTCAGGATTATGCAAGTAAATCAAGGCTGAAACTCCACCTGTAGTGGTTTGTTGCTACACCTGTTTTTATTAAGCTGTGAGCTGTGAGTTTTCTGTTTGCATTGCAGCAGTGTGAAAGGCCTCCAGAGTTAGCACTAGACAGTACCCAGTCTATCTTAATAATAGACTGGATTTAATTCCCTGCACCCATGGCCTCCTCTCCAAATGCTGGTGGTCCTGAGGAAACGATCAACACTTGTGGAGCAATTTAGCAGCCCCTGACGTAGGAACTCAGGTCTCTGCCCCGGCAATGGTTTTTCCAGCCGTACCTGAAAAAACAAATACATTCTGTAATTTGAGGAGTTAGATTATGATTGAATTGGTTATGAAAACAGTTAATTTTGGTTAATCTTTGAGAGTCTTGGGTGAAGACTCTCAAAGATCCCTCTGAAAGATATGAATAAATGAAAATTATTATGAGCTCAATCTAAGTGAGCTGGGGGAAGGGGAAGAGAACAAAAAGGAAAGCTCTGGGAGAGTAGGCAAATTTACAGAATTAGAGCAGGTGGTGCAAGACATGATTCCTATCTTCTCCTTTCAGCTTTAGGAGAAGGACTGTGCTAAACTGCACCAAATCCAGCTTCCCATCCATGGATCTCCCGTCTCCCTCAGTAGAAAGCAGGACTGTCTTTGATCTGCTCTGCCCACTCTGCTCCAGTGTCCATGCAAATATCCTTACCAGGGACTGAGGCCATGAGCCTCCCGGGCAATCTTCTTGGCACACTGAATATCATCCTCAATATTATCATCTTGCAGTTCTGTAGAGAAGGGAAAAAGATCAGTGTGGAGGAAAGTGGGGCAGAGGAAGAGCAGGGACAGACTGGCAGAAGGAAAGGTGTCCATCAGGAAGGACGGGAAGGTGGGACACTGAGAAGATGGATGGAAGAAGGACAGACAGAAATGACTGGAGCAGCTGCTAGGCAGGTGTCATGGACAGAGCAGGTGCTTTCATGGAATGAACAAAGAAAGGTTCTTTGTTCTGTCCTACCACTTACTTGAGCAGCTGATGTGGCAGGCGTTCTTGGCTCCAGAGGTCCTGCCATCATTGCACCAGTACTTGCTGTTGATCTGGAAGATGCCGTAGTCCCTGCTGGGCCCATTGTTATTGTATGCTTTCGTGTTATAACCACTCTCATATTTCACCAGGCACATCCCTGCAGGAGGAAGAGAGATTCCAGAGGAGAACATTAAGGTGTGCTGAGGGTAAATAAGAGGAAGGATATGACAGTATTCAGGACAAAGGAAGTGCTGAAGAAGTAATTAAACTGGTGATATCATAACCTTGAGAATTGGATGGGTAAATTCTTGGAAGGATAAAGCTCTAGACTGGTATTTGCTGTGTGAACTATAGAAGGGAGCAAGGAAGGGGATGAGGAAAAGATGAAGTCAGAGAAATGGAGGGACTGAATAGTACTGCTGGAAGATCAAAAAGAAGTTGAGAGGGACAAAGGTGGTACAGGCAGAGAGGTGCTCTGGCAGCTCATTGTACTCACAGTCAGCAACAGTTGTGCCCTCAAAGCCCTGAAAGCCATTCCGACGTAGGATCTTCACCATCTCACATCTGGAAATTATTTTTCCCTGGGTGCCTGGCAGAGCCAGACCAAGGAAAACAAGAAGAAAGCCAAGGAAGAGCACTGACTTTCTCATCTTGCACTCCACAGCAGGATGTGCCAAAGCAGCTTGAGCTCCCTGTCTGCCAGGACTGCCAGCAATGCCAGCCTTTTATTCCTGCTCCCAGGAGGAGGATCAGTTGGTTGAGCAAGCATATCTGGGAAGTCTGGGCAGTCTTTACAGTAACAAGCCAATAAGGAAGTGGGCCAAACTCCAAAACAAACTCCAAAACAACTCCAAAGTTCCTGGAAGGTGCCAGTACCTATTTCACTGGTCCTTCAAGGCTGGATTATATATTTTCCCCAGACACCCCAGCAATCCTCAGTTGGATATTATTCCAAATGTCACGACTGTAGTTCCCTGGTGTGAGTGTCATGGTTTAACACCAGCGGTCTGATAAATCACTCAATCTCTCCCACTCTATTGGGATGGGAAAGGTAAAAGTTAGGAAACTTTTAGGATACAGGCAGATTAATGGGGAAAGAAAAAGCCACACATGAAAGAAAAAGTGAAATAGAGAGGAAACACACTCCTTCCCATCAGCAGGAAGATGTTCAGCCACCTCCAGGAAACCAGGCTGCACCACATTAACAGTGGTTCAGGAAGACCAACACCATCACTCCAAATTCCAAATCCCCCTCCTTCCTTCTTCTTCCTTCAGGTTTATACTTTGAGCAGGACCCTACATATGATCTGGGATATGCCGTGGTCAGTGGGGGTCAGCTGTCTTGGCTGCATCCCCCATCATGGTCTAGGGGGATGATATTTGCTGATTTAGTACTCCCATTAAAAAGTCTACAAGCTGTTCCCCTCACCTTCTCCAGTCCCAGGTTGAGATAAAAAGAATTTAGTAGGAATGGCAATAAGTTACGAATCAACCATGAAAAATGTCCTGATGTAGAACCTGCTGCAAAGGAGGTGAAGAAGGAGTAGCCAACTTCGTGTTCTTAATTCATCTTCCTACTATCCCTTGTAAAATACTTCTGAACAATAAACTACCTACAACAGAAAAAAACCTGATTTATTATGTTTTTGTTTGCATGGACTGTATATTACAAGCCATGGCTGATCACTGGACATTAGCTTCATTGGTCACTACCTCAAGATTGCCACTACCTCAAGTGGTCATTGCCACTACATTGGCTGCCTTTGACATCAGTTTTCTTTCTCCTACTGTATGCATCAAAAAGCTCAAGAAAATAAGGGTGAGAAAAAATCTTGAAAGGTAAAAATAAAAAGAGGCAATGATTATCAAAGACATAAAGCTAGGAAGATATTTTACAGCTGAGTAGCAGGAGTCTCATATTGGCGTGTCTGATGCAGAAATAGCAAAAGGTGACTGTGCTGGGTGTAGCTGAGGTAATTTCCTTCCCAGTGGCTGGCATGGGGCTGTATTTTGGATTTGTGCTGAATGTAGGGGCTTGGCTGATAAACCACATTGACATTGACTGACAAACTCAGGACACAGGAATTATATTCCCTCTACATGTTTTCACACTTCTTAATCCTTGAAAGGGTCCTCTATGGTTTATTTCCTCCTCTAGCTCCAAAGCAAGCTCTTTATCCTTTCATGCTAACAATGCCATATGACTTTGAAAAAAGAAGAATTGAGGATTAACGGAGTATTTGGGGAGGGGATTGTGGATGAGGTGTTGAATAGAAGAGCTTTTTTCTTCTCTAGCAGTCATAGAGGATATTGGCAAGAGAAATCATTTCACTGGTTTCTTTACATATTTTTATATCAACTGCCATTGAACCCAAGCTGGAGGAAATTGTGCAAAGGCTTCATGTTTGCTGTGAATTCCACGGAAGGAAGGAGTCCATGCCTCTACAACCCTCTAGCTCAGTGAGGAGCTTATGGGGGTCCTCTTGTTGGAAATGATACCAAGTTTAAAATTTTTTGTATAACTTTAGTCAGGGGTTTTGTTTGCCTTTGCCCAAATGGAAAGGAATTGAAATTTCTTTTCAAAAGACTGTTTCACCACTCCAGGCCTGATGAGATTAACATCTCAGCAGGCTGGGAGTAGCACAGAAGATACACAGAAGGCAATGACCATCATTAACAACTGTCAACTCCAAACGTGACACCTGATCTGGGAAAAGATAGATAAGAGATAGATAAGAATGATGACCTAATTAACATCGGAGTCAAAGAGATCTGTAACCAATAAGGAACCAAATACTGCATAACTTGGAAAAAAATGAAACATGAACCAATGTATCTCAATGGGTTTTGACTGTATAAAGTTTGTATAAAGAAAAATCTTGACTGTATAAAGAAAAATCTGCTAAAATTCATGTGTCATGGATTTTCTCTGCACAACCCAGGCTATGTGGATGAAATTATTTCTGTTAGAACAACGTCCTGCCAGAATGAAGCAATGCATTGATTCTCTAACACTAAAAATGTTGTTGGAGAATTTTGTTTTTCCCGCAGTTTCAGTGACTGTGGTTTATTCTAGGCAAGTTTTTATTGTTTCTGGGAAAGGGATCTCCTTTACTAAGGCACTTTTAGAATGTGTTTCCTGGAGACAGTTTGTTTAGTGTAAAACTTCAGTGCTTGGCTTTACACTTGAGTAAATGGTTCTGAAATGAGTGACAGGTATTATAACATTTGAAAATAGCTGTGAAATATGTATTTGTTATTTTATTTACCCTTACATAGTCCAGAATTTGTTTCCAAGACCCACTTTGTATAGAAGGTTGGACTTTTTAAACAAAGTTTGGCACAGCTTTGTGACTTGAGATTCAACTGTCAGATAAGAATTAATCTTGAAATCTTCTAGGAAATGAAAAAAAAGAGCCTCACATTCACAATAATAGCTTTCCTACATTATTGGAAGGAACAGTGAGAATTCTTTGGGAAATGTAACACCTGAATAGCTCTTAGCTGCAGCAGCGTTCACTGCTCAGCTGTTTGCTGCTCATTCTGTGCCACAGTTTGAAGTTGGCTTCCTTACTACTTGCTGGTACTTCCATGTAGGATTGCTTTACTTGTCTGATTCATGAGGGAGGTGACAGTGACACTTGGTAGAGCTTTTGCTGCCAGGGGATTCCCCAGCAACTCGGACTTGAAGCTCAACTGAGTAGAGTGAGCTACTTCCATACATTGGTCATATGGTCATTTTTGCTCTGATGTTTATTTTTTTTTTTTTTTTTTTTTTTTTTTTTTTTTTTTTTTTTGGCATGGGAGTACTAAAATGTTATTACCTCACTTAAAAGTTCTTCCTCTTTTTAATTTGAGACTCTGGGTTAAGAGGAAGAATGAAGATAATGCCATAAATAAAACTGTTACCAGATGGTAAGTGGCTACACCTGGTGAGCTAACACAACGCTTGTTCCAGAATGAACTGCAAAATGCCCATTGTGTAAGAAGGAGACTGGAAATTCACCACCCTCAGTGTCCTGCCAACTCAGCCAGGTCACCTGGAACATTGGGGTCCACAACCACCAGGGACCACCAGAGAGTCCCCAGGACAAAAGAATGAATGCGTAAAGGAAAGGGGAAATATGTTAATGATTTTGGGGAAATCATATGTATGTATAACAAATATATGCATAAAAATCATATGTATAATCATATGTATCATATGATTATCATGTGTATGTTTAGTCTGGGACAATCAATGAATATGTATAAGAAATACAGAATATAAATAGAAACTTTCCTGTACTCAGCATGCAGGGCTTTGGGAGGAGTTATCCCCTCGTGCATCTGGCTGAATAAAGAATGCTGCTTTTTAATGCTACATTGGTGTTAAGGAGTTTATTATTTTACTGAATTTTTGGTAACAAAAAATTAAGTCCCTGTCCTGGATTAACTTAAGTGACAATAAACCACCACGAGGTTGCTAGAAAGGGGCTTGCAGAGAATTCCTGGCTAAAAGTCATATGCCATAAGTCTGATGAAGAGCAGCTGAGGGAGCTGGGAAAGGGGCTCAGCCTGGAGAAAAGGAGGCTCAGGGGGGCCCTTGTGGCTCTGCACAACTCCTGACAGGAGGGGACAGCCAGGAACAGGGACAGGAGGAGAGGGAACAGGCTCAAGATGTGCCAGGGCAGGTTCAGGTTGGACATCAGCAGGAATTTCTCCACGGAAAGGGTGGTCAGGCCTTGGAAGGAGCTGCCCAGGGAGGTGGTGGAGTCCCCATTCTTTGCTTTTTATTAACTGCTTAGTTCTACTGATCAAACAAAGATTGAAGTACAATTCCCAGGGCCTATGGCTTTATTTATTTTAGTCAATAGTGCTAGGCTCTGGCACAAATTAGTCTCTCACTGCACATCCATGGTCAAGGAGTAGATGTTTCCATGCATTCTGCCATTGTCTTAAACCCTGGACTTGTGGCTTCCACTCTGTTTCTGGGATAGGACACACACAGCACTGTGTCAGGGGTTTACAAGAGATGGGTTGGAAACAACTGGTTATAGAATCATGGAACCATGGAACCATGCAACCCCTGACATGGAAGGGACCCCTACCATTCTTCTGTCCTGCCTACCCCTCCTGAAAAGCCTGTAACTGTCCAGAAGAAACAGGTGAGGTGCCTTTGGGTAATGAACCTTCTCCTTCTGAGTGAAGAACCTTCTGGGTGAAGGTTCTTCAGAACCAGAACGCAGAATGTGGTCAGGTACTGGAACAGGTTCCCCAGCAAATTGGCCACAGCACCAAGCCAGCTGTCAGACACATGGTGTGGTTGTTGGGCTGTCCTGTGCAGGGCCAGGAGTTGCAGGATTTGGACTCGATGATCCTTGTGGGTCCCCTCTAACTCAGCAGATTCTGATTCATCCAGAAGGTTTTTCACCCAGAAGGTTCTTTACCCAAATGGTTCTTCACTCAGAGGGTGGTTGGGCACTGGAACAGGCTTCCCAGAGAGCTGGTCACAGCACTGAGCCAGCAGCCAGACACATGGTGTGGTTGTTGGGGCTGTCCTGTGCAGGGCCAGGAGTTGGACTTGATGATCCTTGTGGGTCTCTTTCAACAGAGGGATTAAATGATTCTATAATTCCTAATATCTTACCTAAAACTCACCTGACACAGTCCCACATGCATCCTCTAAAATCAACATTGGGCTGCCACATCA